AGCACTCTGATTTACATTTCAAAACATATCTGATTTCATATTTGATGACTGTAGTCTTAACACTGTCCAGTTGAACATCACCTTGGGATGATGGAAATATACTGTAGGCAACTCTATATATGCACAACATTGGAGGAATGGAGTCCCTGAAATAAGAGGCTTAGGATGTGTGAGGGTGCATGCTTTAGGACTGCTGAGTGTAGCTGGTTGTGTCAGGAACCCCACTGAACTCTCTTCTGTAAAATGGACCATGGATTTCCCTACATGCTCCCTGGGGTCCCTTCTGCTTCTAACGTTTCATTATTTTGTGATTTTATGATAAATGTTTTGCAAAGAAAATGAATACAGTAAACAAGATTATAAAGAGAATATTTGCTTTCTTGAAGGAATAAATTGTTCAAAAGTACCTCAATAACATTCATTTGCATATAAACAATGAGCATTCCATATAAGCAGAGGAGCCTTGTTTTTTCTTAGTTGTTTTGGTAAATTAATTACAAATGGTTCTTGTCAGCTTTCATAGTCTGTATGTATTAGGAAACAACAGAGCAACATTCATTTTAAATATTCTATACTTTTGAATACTCATAATTTCTTGAATGTCACAGTATAAGATTTTTCTCTAAATTATCCTGAATTTTCTTAAATTATTTCTTGACTCATGGGCGTTATAGATGGGAGTGTCTTTCTAAAAGGATTTGAAATAACTCATCGTGTGTTACCCAGGTGTCATAGATAACAACTGAATTCAATGTCATCTCCTCCTGTGTTGGGGCAACCCAACAAATCTTGGAGAACCCAACAAATGTGCAACAGCCTATTGGGATCCCCCGTCCTGCCTGCAATTTAATTCCAAATATTTTGTGGGTCTTTTTTTTTTTTTTTTTTTGCATCTTTCCTCCCCAGTAACTCAAGTGTTTCTCCTCCCTCCGCCATGTCAGTCAAACTATATAGCTATATTAGTTGCACTAATAAAAAGCACTTTGCAAGTATTTACTTGTTTAGACAAATATGAAAGATCCAGGCGTGACACAGAGATAATTCCCAACCCAGAATAAAGCTGTCATTTTGGTTCTAACCCCTCCACCTCATCCCCCACTCCTAGAGTCTTCTTTCTTCCCCAACCCTTCTTTCCCCTGCTATTCACCCTTCTCAGTAGCAAAGTACATAGCATCTCTTGTCTTAAACACAGCAAGCAGCTTCCTGATCCCTTCCTGTACTTCCTGCATTTCTTGTACTTCTGTCCTTCACTCTCAAGTGGCTGCTCAAGATACTTTGCTGAATACATTTTGTTAGGTAAGTTCAAGAAAGGATATCTTGAGAAATTTCTTCCAAAGGAGGAATGTGAGGAGCCGAGAAAGGGGACTGGCTGAGTTCCCAGGCAGAAAGAAGAGTCTGTGCAAGCTGAAGACACCTGTGATAACTTAGCATGTCCAGAAAGCTCAGGCAAATCTCTGAGATTGTAGCTGAGAGTAACTATGGGGAGTGACTGATAAAATGATGGGACTGGAGGAGAAGGCAAAGGTCACAGCACGGAGGACCTTCAAGTGTTCTATGACAATGTTTTGATTTTCTCTAGTCGGTGATGATAACCTAGTGCACAGGACAGCCCCAGTGATAAAGCAGCAAAACTTGCAAAGATGCAGATAAAAATCTGTTGTAAGATCTAGGGCCTGGACTAGCTGTGTATGGGGATGGCAGAGGAAATGACATAGTTAAGAGTGAGATAGGAAATAAGATTTGAGATTGATTAATTAGAGGGTAAGGGGAAAAAAGCAACAACCCTAGAAAAACACTTGAGCTTCTACCTTATTTGTTTGGGAATTCAAACAAAGAAAAATAGAAATTAAGAGACCTTTAGTTTCGGATGTATAACTTAATTTCATTTATCCTTGTGCTATCTTAATAAATTGAGCAAAGATAACATGTCCTTGGTATCCATGAAAGAGTCAGAGCACGTTCAGAGTTGTGACTATTTAGCAGCATGCTAAATGTCTGGGACAAACTCCTCATGTAACAAATTCTGGCCATATTATTTTACATAAGCATTGCTTTGCAATTCTATTTTTTATGTCACTGTAACTCGCCACCTGGCTATCAGATACAAGGCTTGACAATGACGGAGGATGTTCTGCTTTGTTTTTTAAATTGGATTATCAAATCATTATAATTCAGGGTGGAATAAATGAACCATTTAATTTTTCTTTAGTTGTTGCCTTCAAGTACACTTGGTCAAACTCTTCTCTCTAGCCCTTTACCCTTGATAATATCTCAGGTGGACAGTATACACGTGCGATGTATATCATTTGCAATAGTGACAAGTCTAATTTCACCAAGTTTAATTTCCTTTTTGATATGCAAAAGTCCTTCCCAGACTACATAAGACCTTCCTTTCATGCCCAGTCTAGAGCATCCCTTCCCTGGACCTCCTGGTTGAGAATGGGGGAATGGTGAGCAATAGAGCAAAGCTGTTTTTCTTAGTTGATCCTACAGGTGTGATTCTCATTTGACTGGTGCATGGAATGCGAGGCCCTTTCTGCAGGCCACTGTGCCTCACTGCACAGGCAGGGACTGGTGTGTACTTTTCTGACATGGAATCTTTTCATTTTGGAAGGCAACGGGAGGAGCCATTTCCCATCATTCTCCATTTTTCTAACTGCATTACAAACTCATAAACCCAAGAAAGTCCCTAGTAACCTTAGTCACAATTTTTTTTTTTTCGTTTTAGACAGCAAAACGAGGTCAGGTTGTTATCATTTTTATGATGTTAGTCATCAAAAATAAAGTGATTTCTGAGTGTGATTGGTATGTATACTAAGAATTTGAAATCGTCCCTTCAAGTCAAATCAAATTTATGACTCTCTGAGAACAAAGACCATCCCACACCATAAATGGAAACTATGTAATGTATTCTTTCTCCCTATGACTTTCTTCAATATTCTATTTAAAGAAATTTCTGAAAATACATGAATTATGCAGCTTATCTCTCAGATAAAAAGGAATTTTCTTTTTGGATTGGATGGCTGCATATTTATTAATAGAAGTAAAATTTTCCATGTTCTTTTGTATCAAATGAGATGCTGACTAAAATATGAAAGCACCTTTCCAGCAATAATAACAGTAACGGATGAATAATTATAAAAGCTATATGGAATCAAAAGGCATTTTAATTTGTCATTACTTTTGTGGGTTCAGAAAAGATCTGACTAATTATTCTGACTGTAAAAAGGAAGAGTGTGATATTTTTTCTCATTATGGGATTAAGTTCTTAATAGTACACTTTTACTATAAGTTGGGCGGGCGGTTTTCTTTTCTACTTTGCTCTAACAATGTAATCATGACTAAAGGCTGTTTCACTGCAGCGTGTTTCGTCATCTTATTACATGGCGATGTTGTACTTCAAACTCAATTTAAAAGGTATTCATCTTTGCAGTTATAAAAATTACATTATACTTGTTTGCTCAGTGAAAACTCCCAATCATTCTGTCTCATTAATTCATGAAGATGACAAAGACTGTAGAATTTCCATAGGTCATGAGCGGACCTTGGCAAACACAGAAAACAGCAAACTAGAAGATGATTCTCTTTTAATGACAACTGTTAAAACAATGGCTATGCCTACCAGAGTGATCCCAAGGCCAAATTCCAAAGCTATTTAAGAAAATGCATGTAGCGTCCCTGTTAGCTTTGTCTGCATTATACCATCAATATTTCAAATCCCTACCCAGATTCTAGACTATTCTGTGTTAGCACTTTTACTTAAAAAGTAAACTTTCAGGCTAGGCTATGTTTCTCTAGTTGGTGATAGAGTTTTCCTTTGTCTCTTGTGAATTTTATCTACCATATTTCCACTAAGACATTTAGACCTTGGGTGATGAGGGATAGAAACAGCTACACAAGTATTTTAACCTACTCCAAGATTAACAATCAACTGTTAGAAGATGCTGCTTTGACAGCTTTATTGAGTCAGAAGATATCACCAATAGCGTGAGAGAAATCCCCTCAGATGTCCACAGGTAATTTTGCCTTCTGATTCTGATCTTTCATAGGATTCAGTTGTTTATCCTTGTGCCATTAACTTAGCCAAATTGAGCCTCAAGTTTCTCACATTTAGAAAGAGGAAAAAATGCCATATTCAAGATGGTTTGGGGCTTAAATTACAATAGAAAACAAATTAATTCTTATGTAGGTATGTGTTAAATGATAGTGTCTTCTTACCATAAAGGAAAACAAAACTAAAGCACTTTAAAAGGTATTGCTATGGTGGCCCTCCCTGATGGCACAAGGGGTTAAAGCACAGCACTAAGAAGCTAAAGCCACTTCAGCATGAGTTCGATCCCCGCCCCAAAGGTGACCCACATGACACTACAGACCTCTCCTGCCTACCCGCTGCTCCCCTTAGCAGTGTACTATATTGATCTGCCTGTTCGGCCCCCCACTCTGTCTCTGGTGAGTACTCTCACCACCCCTGAAACTCTGGCCTGTACCCCAGTTCTGTATGCATAAATAAACAAATATTTTTAAAAATTATTGTTATGCTTTAAAACAATGCTTTTTGAGAATAAAACCAGAAGCAGTTTTTCTTACTTAAGAGATCAAATGTTGAATGAATTGAGAATAAGTTTGTAATAATTTGGAATCTAAAGCCATGAAGTCATTCTTCTCTCCCCATAAGATGACATTATAAGTAGTTATAACTAAAACTTAAAGATGGATATATGCAATAACCCTTAAGTAAGAATCAGTTGATTATTTTCATTTCAAGAATCTGAAATTAGTATCTGAAATGACAGTGTAATGGTATAGATTTTCCTCTGCCTTTATGCAGATGCATTGATAATTGAGTTATGTACACAGATTATTTTGAAGTCAAAAGATTCACCATATAAACTGAGATTTATTTTAATTTCATGGCTAATGTGATGTGGGGCTGGAAAGGGGAGAGAGAGATATACATAATTATGAAGGAAGGTAAGACTCTGTTTCCTTCTGTTTTATAGCCTGAAGAATAAGTAGTGAAAACATCAATCAAGAGATGTGAAAAAATGTCAGGATTTCTCTGCCGCGGAGAATTGCTTATCAACCACCAGAGGAGGATTCTTTCTTGAACAATGAACATTTCTTATGAGGATTCACGATTAACATGTGACTAATCTTAGCTTTGGAAAATGAATGAGCTTTCTTTCTTTCTTTTTGATTTTATGGTAAGTTATGATATTTGGATGGATTTTTAAAATTCTTTCCTGATCATATATTTAGCACAAGTTCTAAATTATAATCCTGTAGCAAACAGTGGGAGCATCATTCAAATTTAAAGACAATGGAAAAACCTTAATTTCCCATTCATTCTAGATTTCTTCTACATAGTTTATTCTATGAAATCCTTGGTGATTGTGATATAAACCACCTTTCTCCAGGTTATTTTTCATCATATAGAACATGATTGGTGGCAACATCCATAGAACAAAGCAGATCTCTATTAGTAGAAGATATATAATGGACACAAATGCCAAAACTTCTCATTTCGCCATTTAAATGTGAACCAGGTTTGCTATCTGAACCATCAGAAAGAAGAAAGTAAAATAAAGGGAGAATCCTCATTCGTTTTTTCTAATCATTCAAAGAACAGTTTCTCAAGGTTAAGCCAAGTCCTCATTGCAAGCTGCCAAAATAATAGCTTAGGAAAAGAATTAGTTTGCCTGCATGATGATCCTCTTAGGCAAAAACGTCTTAACAGCAGTTGACCTTGATGAAATGTTTTCCCAAAAGAAGAGGGATGAATCCCAGAACAAGGTGGAGGAAATGAATATTTCTTATGAAGTTGACCTGAATGGTGGACTTTCTTGTTCGGCACTGACGATTTGGAAAGAAAGGAGCAAATTCTGAAGAAATGATAGTCTCAGATAAAGTGAGGTTCCTTATTACCTATTCTTGACTGAAATCTTCTTGCTAGTCAAGATTCAATCACTTTGGAACAAACAACTGGCCAGTATGACAGACCCGAAAACTTACTGATGGAGAATGTCTGAGTGTAAATGGTAAAACTCTCTCTGGGCTTCATTCTTCTCCATTGTGACTGGGTGTGGTGTCGTGCAGGCTGCCTACAAAGCCAGACATTTAACTCCTATTCATGATGCTTTGCGTGTCCAGCTGGCCTCTGCCTGCGTTGCCCTTTGACCATTGTGACCACAGGCAATTCATCTCCTGGCGTCAGGATCTGAACGTCTGTTGTTTATCCGCAGAGAACTGCGGTGGTTACAACTCAGTAAGCAATAAATGAAGCAACTTAGAAATGCACAATGTTGTTATTAAGGTGTTTGAAATGTGACTCCATTCCCTTGGGGAGGACCCACTCAGAAGAGACCAGGGATGCCTGTCTCCTGTGCCTGCAGAGGGAAGGAGTCACCAGCCACAGGCTGTCCTCGGGAGGGGGGGTGTTGGATGGGAAGCAACCTGTTTTGCTGTTTTGGAAAGCACACTAGAGAGCTACAGACCTCCAATGATGACTTTTGTCTGAATGTGTAAAATAAGGCTTTATTTGTCAATTCTGCTGTATAATAAGCACTGTCCAAGTAAAAGAAAAGAAAAAAAAAGCCTTTGTTTCTACTTGTGTTTAGTGAGTCAAGTCATGTTCTCAAATATCTCTTAAACAACCTGACACAGACAAGTCTATGAGTAGAGATGCCATTTCCTTTACAGAAAGCCCATGGCCTACCCTTATTTAAAGATAAAATTAAAGGTAAAATAATTAGATAAATACAAAGATATTTCAGAATTCTTGATTTAAGTACCACTGCTGCTTGGCCAACTTTCAAGTGAATACCCTGCCAGAGGGTTTTCTTATTTTTTTTCAATTTTCTTTTTTTCATTTGTGCCTATTGAGACAAGGGAAATTATCAGTCCAGTGGAGGTGCCAGCTTTGAACTTTAAGCAATAAGGGTCTGTGATTATGCTTCAACTTGGGAAAGTAGAAACACCCCTATTTAGGAAGCTGGCTGTTTGGTGGTAGTGGTGTGTTTGGTGTGAATATGTTTATTTAATTAGGTTCTATTTTACTGTTCAATTTTCATCAACAGTTGAGAGTGAGATGGAAAGTAAGTATTTTCAAAAAAAGCCAAATTAATTTTGGTGGAAGAGAAGAGACCCGCACAGATCTGGTGGCCATTATGGGACTGTTGTGCTTACCACGGAGATTTTCAGAGAGAATAGAAGAAGTTTAGGGAATCCCTGTAAATCTTGGTTCAGGGAAATGATGGAAAAACTGTTTAAAAAAGTGAGAGATTCCATGAGTTGTATTTAATGTGTATGTAGATACAGTAATGTCACCTAGACTAACCAATCACTGCCTGTTGAAGTTTTGCTCCAGTGAGGGAAAAATGACTCAAAATTAACATAACACAACACTCATAACCTCCTCATATTAAAGTGACATTTTTGTATTTAATAGGATCCTTGCTGAGTGGTCAAATACTCTATATCTTCTTGTAGAGAAGACTTCTACAGCCCAGCTCATGCAGTCCATTCAGTTTGTAAAGTGTTTTTCTTTTAAAGAATAGAAAGGTAAGCTTTATGCCAGTGGCCATAAATGCCTTGGCAGTGAAACCCAAATTAATGTGCTTTCATTATATATGGTCTCTGCAGCCCAGTTCACTGATAAATATGATCATAAAGCAATCTGCTAAGTAGAGAAAACTACAGTGATCCCTTTTGCTGATAAAAGTAGCAATAAAATGCTCATCTGTGATTGCTTAACCACCAAACCAATAGGGTTTGTTTTTTACTTTCCTCTTCAATGACATATAAACATAAATTGGGACTTCATGAGGTTTTTCTTTCCCTTAACTTTTCTATTGAAGTGAGCTTATTAGACCAATCAGCCCAGGATAGGAAAAAGATAAATGATAAATGCTAATACTTTCATTTCCATATGGAAATTTAAGCCCTGGGCAGGGGTAGGGAGGGAAAGTTCCATCCCTTCCAAAGTTCATCATTAAAAGGGATATTTCTAATAAGATATTAGAATTCCAGAAAGAAAATGGCTTTCTAAACTGTCAAGTAATAATATAATTTGCCTCTCTCTACATTCCATCCAAATTAAATATTCATTATTTGACCAGCTTGTTCAGATCATTGATTGTTCTTTTGTGACCAGATAAGAAGGATCTAATGAATACGTTATTGTGGGGACACATTTTTTTCTTCCTTTCTGCTTCTAATTTATTCATACTGAAGTTGTGCTTTAACTACCTCAGATTTGTGGTGTGGTCTAGTGAATTAACAAATGTCAAGTTCTTAAAAAATTTAAATCTGTATAAATGCTGCCTTAGTTGTTTTTTTTTTTTCTAGCTCATGATATGCATGTCAAGTTAAATATCTGGATATTTCATTGTAATATTCATGTTGCTAAATTTGACTTTAAATTTAATATATAAATATGTTAATGGAAAATGAAATACTAAGCATCTCAGCATGAAATGAGAGCATCAAGATCAAGTCTGACAAATATAGGACTTCAGGAACCAAAATGTAGTTAGAAGCAAAATTAAACTATTTTGTTAAGGAGATTTTAAAGCAGTCATTCACAAAGGAAAAGCCAATATTTATTTTAAAGAGTTTGTTAAATATTTTTGTACTGTAATGGTTAAAAATACCAAAAATCAATTAGTGATTACAGTGGGTTTAGTATTATGCCCATGGTAATGTAATCCTTAATTCCTTTATAGTTGGGCAAACAATGGAGGGAAGAATCACAGCTAGTTCATATATATTTGAAAACCTGCAAGATCTAAACACCTGCCTTGATTTGAATATTCCCAGGAAAATATCAAACACTGCTTTCAAAAGGATATTTAAAGAGAAAGGAATGGGATTACTATCTAATAGCCTTGGTGACATCATCTGGAGGCTCTATAGCAACTAGTCAAAAAATAACTTTACTGCTGACTCTACATTGCTGCCATTTTGTCCTGTATGATTAATTACTCCTTAGTCATTATTCTGAGTAGAGGCTTTATTTGCTAATTTGAAATGCCTGAACTTAATTAGCAATTCATTTTGACCTTTAAAAACTCATTCTATAATCTTCAGGTTATATGAATGAAGCAGGGGTAACAATCTCATTTTACCTAGCCCCCCCCCCCAACTACCATTAACAGTTTACATTGTTTCTGAAGAACAGAGGATTGTCATGTGACAAACTAACAACTGTGGGGGGCTGAAGTCCAGCCTCAAATTCCCTCTAACGATGGGTTTAACTTCAGAAAATCGAAGTAATGTATAATGTAGTGCATTTGACTAGTAAATTTATTCATTTTTTAATTAATGGGAAAAAAAGCGTAATTGCTACACACAATAATGAATTCCCTTATTGCATCCTTGCTATTTTGAGAATTCTCAGCACATTTTCTGCTTGTATTGTTGCTCTTTAAATGATTAGTAGCCTGAATATAAGACCACCAACGATGAGCAAGCTAAGGTTTCCTTACACTGGCTGACTCGGTGTCCAAATATTTTACATTGAAATCAAAATTTTTATTATGTATTCTCCAATTTCTTGAATTATCTTCATAGATCAGTGGGCTGTTTATCAAGGTGTGTAGCAGCATCACCGCTAGTGATTTTATTGCTGATTGTTCAAATTCCTGACATGTTGGGTCAAACTATGTCCTATAGATCCATTTCCTTGTAGTCTCTATGAAGCTCAGAAAGGTAGACTGTTATAATCTTAGAAATAATAGTTCCAAGAAAGGTATGAATACTGAGTATGTGTAAGCAGGAGACTATTTTATCAAAACTATATCAACCTCCTTGGTTGGGTTTGAGACTAATGGAATGAAAAGCATTGTACAAGGAAGGCATTGTACAATCCCACAGCAACTCTAATTCTAGATGGAACTGACATCAGCAAAAACAGACCCTCTAAGAAAAAACAGCCCCAACCTTCTGGGTATCTATATTTGACTTTTGGAACATTAATTAGTAGATTACATTTTCCCTTATTTCTTTTTTTGTTATTTTAAAAATATATATTTATTTTTATTGAATTTTTTAGGTAACTTTGGTTTATAGCACTGTAGGTAACTTAGAGGTACCATTTCACATCTTAGATGTATTTTGTTAGATCTACTTTGTGACTTTCATGTTTGCTGGCCATAAGGAGCACTTTTTCATCACACTGGAATGGCTTGTCTTTTTCTTCACTATTCCTTTGCTTAACTAGAGCATATTGTTATCAAAAAGTGATAGGTTGGACAGCAAATATATGGAGGCTATTAGCCATTTCAAAGACATTTTTTCTTAAAGATTGATTTATTTATGCACACAGAACTGGGGTACAGTCCACAGGCATAGTGGATTCACCAGAGATAGAGTGGAAAGCAGAACAGGCAGATTGACAAAGTACACTGCTAAGGGGAGCAGCAGGCAGGTCAGGAGAGTGGGTCACCTCGGGGGTGGGGGATCAAACTTAACACTAAAGCAGCTGCGGTAGTTGAGCCACCAGGGAGGGCATTGGATAAGTTTTTCTTTGATCATTTTGAAGAGTAAATAAACTAAGTAATTTTTTTCTAGTTACTCTGTTTCAGAAACTGCTCACCTTCCCAGATGAATAATGAGGGTTTTTTTTTTTTTTTTTTTGGTCTATTGATACATGTCTTAGTTACTATAGGCATTTTCTAGTAGATGTTGAAAGCAAGGAAGAATATACTTTCTACCTTTACCAAATAACTGCTATTATCTGAACTAATTTAAAGAGAACATGCTATTTTTCCTTTGCAGTTAGTTACCTTTTTCGATCAAAGTTCTTCCGAGAATACATTTACACCTGAGAAGGAAAAAAACAAAAACAAAAACAAAAACTAAAACATATTTATCTTTATTCACAAACTCTGGTAACTCCATTTGTGATAAGTACTACATGCTATGATTAGCATAAATTTATATATTAATTTAGTAGTTACTTATTGATTACAAATTTCCAGTTAAAGGGTTTGGTAAAAAAGTAAAATGGAAAAAAAAAAACAAGCAAACAAACACTGGATTTTGAATATGATTCTGCCATTTATTTGCTCTTTGGTTTGGGGACAGTTATATCGTTTTTCTGATCTTCAGTTTCTTAATGTTTGAAGTGGAATAATAAAGTAAAATTTTCTGATAAAGTAAAATTTCAGCACACTAACTCTTAGCATCTTTTCCTTCTCCCCTCTTCTCTGCTACCCAACTAGCTAATCATTGTTCACTGTAAAATAGAACTAGTCAGTGGGAGTGCTGGAAGGTATCTGTAAGATTCTCTCATGTGTCCCACTCATTTTGATCATTCTCCTTTTTAGATATACGTGATGAAATAGAACTGTATATAGGGGAGGATCACTGCTAGTATAACTCCATGATGAACAATGTTCCCTGAAGAGCAGAAACCAGAGTCCATGTGAATTCCCAGGATGTACCTTTGTCCCACTTCTGCGGTACCCTCACCTTCACCCCAGGCTTAAGCAGCCCTGCCAGCTCCTTCCCTTGACCCTTTATGCCAGGAACTCTGTCTGCCTGCAGGTTTTCACACAGTAAGTACCTCACACTTGCTGCCAGTCAGCAAAACTTGTGATTGGACATGCTCCAGCATAGATGAGAGGTCAATTTCCTCAAGGTATTTCCAGAAGCAAATCAGAATTGAGCACATACATTTATAAAGCATTTGTACATGGAGT